TCTGTTCCAGACCCACGCATGTCTTTTGTGATAATGATACAGATAATGTGATAGTGATATAGATCCAACAGGAGAAGCTCTTTCTGTCATGGGAATCTCTGTGGTTCCATGGTCCTAGCATCCTAATGGTATTTAACCAGTTCTGGTTTGTGTCATAGCTGAATATATGTTGTCCCTCCCTCTTTCTCTGCCTTTGAATATTTCCCATCCTAAATTTGTCCTCTGTTAAACTGGTTTCCATGTCTTTCCACCAAGGGCATGTGTGGCAGTTGGTAGGACTACTGTGGTCCTATGTGTGTTCTTAGGTCTCTGGATTCTTGAAGTGGGAAGCACTGTGTTTCCATGTGCAGAGTGACAGTTACTTTCCCTCAGTGTTCTTCCCGGCTGGTGAATGAGGTTCTGATTTCACTGTCCTTGCCCCTTTCAATTTTATCGCACCCCAGATTTTGCCAAGGAAGCCCACACTCATTTCTGTAACTATTCAATAAAATAGAGCATTTATGCATTAGTCACAAAGGAAAATACCAATATTAGAATTTTCATGGAAGATTTCTTAGAAGTGAGACTCAGAATGGACTTAATGGATTAATAGACTGGGTAGAGAAATTAGGAAGAAAAGGATTTTTTTCCTAATAATGGAAAAATATTGTACTAACAATGCCCGGCATGCTGGAATGGTCAAAGCAGGGCCTCGTGTTGAAAATTAGAGATAAGATCAGCATAGCAGAGTTAGCATATGGAAGGTTTTAGAAGTCACAGTAGAGATGTGGGATTTGGCCACTTCCTTGTTCATTGCGACCTACTGCCCTCTTGTTTATTTTAGCTGAAATTGTCTCTTGCGGCCCATGAGTGGGTGGATATTTGTCTACTGTCAAGCCCTCACACAGGCCTACCCCACACCTGAATTAGATTCAGGTTCAGAAACCAACAGTAGCACCTGCCACCGGCCAGGCTGGCACAGAGCAAACTGCATTCATTCATTCATTTATTTATTTATTTTTGGTACCGGGGATCAAACTCACGACCTTGCGCTTGCCGGACAGGCGCTGTGCCGTTGAGCTAAATCCCCAGCTCTTGCATTAGGATGTTGTCTGGTTCTGAACAAAAATCTGTTCCATTATTTATGCTTCTTTGCAAAACACTGGTAAAGTCTTGTCACTTTTTAAAATTAAACTTTATGTAAAATAGTTGGATATTTAGTTCTGTTTATGGTCAAGGTTCTGGTTTCCGTGTTAGTCATCTCCCGGCTCCCAGCCTCTTGGCAGCCATGCTTAATTCAGTTATTGTGTGTTTGCAGGCTGTTCAGAATTCCACACTGCCTAGAGTTTTTCCACCTACAATGTCCAGACACTATTTTTTTTTTTTTGGCTTTCCAACCTTTCTGAGCAGTCAGAATCACATTTTAGTGCTCATGTTTGAAGCCACTGATCTCTCTTTTTATTTGCCCAATTAGTTTTGAATTTAGAGTATGCCTAGTGGATACCTTTTCCCAACTCAGATCAGCATTTTATCTCGTTCTGCCACCTCAGAAGGCCCGGAGCGCGGGTTGTCCTCCATTTGTGCAGTGCCCTGTTCCGGAAGAAGAGGGAGGGTGAATCTTTGACACCTGCTCCCAGACCGTTCCTTTTGTTTCTATGTTTACTCCACAATCTTTTTTTTTTTTTTTTTTTTTTAAATTAAGAATACATTTGCAAAAAATGGTTTGGCAGTCTTTTCACATATTTTGGCTCTCAACTCCCTAATCTAATATTTACCATTGTCCCTCTTGTCGGAAAACCTACAACATTAATGTGTTCTCTTTCCTAGAGCGCTGTGATCAACAGTGCAGACCTGGTCCTTCAAGTGTGTAGTCCATCCATAGCCCCTCACACCCCCGTGTTCCTCTTCAGGAGCCTTTTCTCCCCTCCCCTTCGAAAGCCACCAGAGTCTTCGGGTTCTTAATCCCTAATTAGAACTCACTCTGGTATTTTTTATTCACGCTGAGGGGCAAACTGAAGATGTTGTCCTCTCCAGGGTGTTTACCTGTTAACAGAACTCAAAAGTCTTAGATAACAGAGGCCTCATGTGCCACTGGTAAAGAGTTTGGGAGCCTCTCTGTTGTTCCTAGGTGCATAGTGTGTACACATATGCCCCAAAACCCAGAGGAGGGAACTCACAAAGGACAAGAGTTAGCATGAGCTGTTTCTCAGTCTCCCCTCTAATCTAAATAGTTCACATCTGCTCATTAATGGTAAGGCTGTCTCACTATCTATTCAAAGTGCTTAGCACAAACCTCCAAAGTGCTCTTTTTGAAGTGCAAACAGTGGACCAAACAGTGTCGCTCTAACTGTCCTTGAGAGGTGATGCATATTATGGAATGACTAAAGTTCGTCACTCCAAACATGAAAGCACTCAGAAGGGGCTTCCTGAACTCGGCTTCAGAGATTCACATACTGGCTGGAGGAGTCTTCTTCTAGCGATACTGATAGTTTCCTTGGCCCAGAGTGTTACCTGCAGAGGAAGGGAATGAAGAGCAGAACCTTAGTTCAAAGCCACCTAGACCAAACTTACTTTGAGGTCTCCTGGTTGGGTTTAAGATGACAGTGCCTTTTCAACCATGGCTAGAATGTTCAGATTTCACAGACTGCGGCTTCAGCTGTCCCTCAAAGCCTCTAAGCTTATATTCCCAGGCTTTCCTTCTCCTTGATATTTAAAATATTAAAGAACTTCACTTATGAGTTTCAACCATACAGGCACATGGGCTCTAGTGACTTCTGCAGGTGGTTGGGGCTATATTGGAGAACCTGGTCTTGATCTTCATCTGTCTTCTGGATTCTGAGTTAATCCATGAAAGCAGTAAAAATTAGTGATGTGAACTGCATGTCTCCGATACATGTGTCTTTCATTATTTGGTCATCTACTCTGCAGTACACGTGCACGCGCGCGTGCGCGCGCGCGCACACACACACACACACACATACACACAGGAGGAACTATGGTTCCAAAAGGAAATGACTGGTGTGGTGCCTTGAAATCTGAACTTGGTCACATGTCCCGAATGAAATGACTCTAAATGACATTAGCAGAATGTCTTTTCTTCCATCTCCTACATTTTGGAAAATACTTTGGTGAGAAACACTGTCTAATTTACAGGCATTTGAATTTAATTTTCTAAAGATAAGCAAATGATTTGATAGCCACTGCAAGGATACAGGACTTGTGAAAATGGAGTTAAGCTTCCATAACAGTAGTCTCAAAGAATAGCTAGGGCTCATTAACATGCAGCAGTCAGCTGTTCTTCATCTCTGGCCAGGCTGGGAAAGGAAGAAATTAGCTTCAAATGTAATAAAAGGGGTTTCTAAGACTTGTAATGGGAAATTTATCATAAATTGAGACTATTTTAACATTGGAACAAATAGCCAGCTAGTAGAAATGGAGGAATGATGTTTTCCATTGTATTTGAAATATCTACTCAGTGCACTTAAAATTGATAGATTATTAGATATGGCAAATAAGTTTTAAACTTGGTGCAGGGTGTCACATTCAGAATATGATGGACTCTTTTATATAATTTTAGGGAAATGAGACTCCCTGCTCTAAATTCAACTCCAATTTCAGACACCCCAGACTAGATGATCTCCCAAAGTCCGTCCTAACCTCCTGAGTGACACAGTCTATGGCTTAGTGTTCCCAGACATAACAATGGGACCTGAAGACCAAATGTCACACTTCGCATTTTTTTCCTCTAGATTTATAATGTTCATTGTGTACTGTGTCAAAGTAAAAAGAAAGGATATTAGAATAGAAAGAATTTTACTTTTGAATTCAATTCTTTGTCATAGAGAACTAGGAACTAGGACTGGAACTAGGACTTAGGAGGAGACAGGCTGTCTTGGGCCCCAGTCCTGCTGTACCTCTGTCTAGTCAAATGTTTAGATTTTTAAAATCATTGGCTGACTATATATCATTGTCACAGAAAGGTCATACAGGATGGACTATCTGCACACCCAGCTTCAAATTCCTGGGTGAAAATGCAAAATCATATGCCACATTGACTCACCAGCACTTTTCCAAGGTCATGACTTCTAACTGTATTGCTGTGATTTTTCAGCTGGACTTGGAAAATATTATCTTGCTCATAATTGTCTCATCAGTTTTATGCCATAGTGTCATTGACTACAAATTGAAAAAGGACCACCCAAGAATACAAATCAGGAAATTATTTGGCCTTCTCCCTAAAAGAAACAGCTCTCATCCTCTTGGGAAGTAAGAAAGGAGTATATGTATATGTATCTTTATCGTCTAAACACTTGATTGCTCCATTTATATATTAGCATGATGGTGCATGGTTTCTGTTTCCTTCTGCACATGCCAGTCCAGTAGTGCTCCCTTTAATCTCATATTGGAAATCTACCAGTACTTGTCACTTTGTACTAGATAAAATAGTGATATCAGGGAAAGACCGTAATTGCTAGATGTCTGTGACTTCTTGTCACATCACTGTACCTAATGTTTCTAAGGCAAACACTGAAAGTTATAGTTGGAAGTATCCTACTGAAATTAGAAATTGTACTGATAAATAGGAGCTAAGCAGTGTAGGCCAAGGTCTCCTCACTATCCATGTGGTTGGTCCTTTTGACATTGTTCCTTCCCATTGTTGAAGGGAAAGAAGGGGTTTAAATATTCTTACCTCTGCTCTGCACTAAAATCCCCTTCTCTTCCAATTGCTCCTATGGCAGTTCACTGCATGGAAAACATACAAGAAACACCATGTCTGCAGAGAGAAGTTCTGTGGCATGAACTTGCCCTGGAACTAGGACTTAGGAGGAGACAGGCTGTCTTGGGCCCCAGTCCTGCTGTACCTCTGTCTAGTGATTGATAAAGTTCCTCTTCACCCTTGAGAGTATACCAACAGTTCACACCCTGAGAGCACACGCACACCCTTCTGAAATTGAAACTTATGGCAGAGCTGTACATGCCGGTAAATGTTTATTTATTCCTGCATATATTCCTCTCCACAGAAAACGTGATCAATGGGCAGGACTACGAAGTGATGATGCAGATTGACTGCCAGGTGATGGACACTCGGATCCTCCACATCAAAAGCTCCTCAGTTCCTCCTTACCTCCGAGATCAGCAGAGGAATCAAACCAACACCTTCTTTGGTTCCCCTCCATCAGCCACAGAGGCAGCCCATGTTGTCAGCACCATCCCCAAGTCGTTACAGTAATGCTCTGCAGCGAGGTGGGAAAACAGAATGGGACCTGTTGGACTGCAGAGTGGGCGAGAGAAACGCCGCTTTCTGTCTGCAGAGAACTGCTTCAGACTCCAGTTCAGGGAGGAGAGAAGGAAGAAGAAGCTAGTCTTCCAAACTGCCAGAATTTAGATGCAAGAGAACATTTCTCCAGGGGCAAATGTAGCATACATCCTCCAGTGTTACCTGGTGTAGATTCGCCCACACCTTTCTAAGCTGCTTTTCATTCTGTATTTGTGTTCTCTTGCTTTCAAGTAAGATCTGCTTCCCCTTCCTCCCATTTCACTTGTTGATAAAGAAGTTTTTATTTAAAGCTATAGCCCTCAGAAACACAGATGGTTTCCCACAGATTGGTTTTCTCATTCCTTTACTGCAAACCTATTCTGGATATTGTGCTTGAGAAAATAAATTTGAAAACCAGAACAGCCAAAAACATCCCACAAAGAGTCAAAACTGTTTGGAGCTTTGGGTAAAAAGGAATATCCCCGGTTGGTAAAGTTTACTTATACTTGGGACTTGTGGTTCGTATGTAAACAAGTAACTGTTGGGCATCTGAGGGTGGGCCACAAATCTGAGAGAACTGAAAGGAAGAGGAAGCTCAGCGGTGGGCCTTGGAAGAGGAGGTAGCTCCATTAATACCTGTGTTTAAAATGTTGAAAGTCTGATGCTATTGCAGTGTAGAGTGAAAGCCATAGCTACCGTTCATTGTCGGGATTCTAGGCTGCTGAGTGGTGGTGTGCAGACTGGTGTCATCTCTTGACTGATCTGGTACAGATACTCAAGGGCCATGGGGCAAATCCTTTGTTTTCATTACGAATCCTCCATGGTACCAGATTTAGGCAAGGAACATGGAGGTGGCTTTAGACTTAAGCACGGCAAGAGCTTTTTCCCTTGAGTACTGACAGGTACTTTTTCCTTAAGATGATGCAGACGGGTACCTTAGATTCCTGCTGAGGAAGTGCCTCCTGTAATACGGCAATCATTTTCAATTTCTCCATGAAAAGACAATGGAAGAATGAACTCTTTTGTTGTTCAAAGAAGAGCTGCGTCCACTTACATTTTACTGAACCTTGCCTACTTTCTTCGGCATAGTAGACAGTTAACTTATGCCTCACTTGGTGACTTCACCACATGCATCTCAGGCAACAATGTCCTCGCTAATGCTCTGCCCTCAGTTTCTAAAGTGAGCCCTTCTGCCTCTCCATTCTGACACTTTCCAGTCTCAAAGGCTGCTTTTCACCCCAATTTACTTGCCTCTGTCAGATTTCTTCCTTCCCCATTCCATACTGTATCAGTTAATTCCTCTTCCTCCTTGCAAGAAAAGGAAAGAAAAATTATGTCAACCCCTGAAGGACTGCATGCAGTCAGTTCATTTTCTGCCTGTGCACTAATCAAGCCTGGCCTCTAAATAATAGTAAACCACCACCACCATTTCTAATTCTCTGGACAGTAATGCCTCTCAAGCTAGCCTGTTACTTTCCAAGAAAATCATTTTAACTTGGGGGTGGAGGGCTATTGCTTTATTACCTGGTAACCTGGAGTTTGAATTAACCTTCCTTTTTCCCCACACCACAGACTCTTAAGCCAGTGCAGCACTCTCCCCTCTGATCTGGCTCCTGTGTGACTTTCAGACGTGAACTATTTTCTCTGGCGACTGTTCTTTTAATGGGTGCCAAAGAATAGACAACAGATGCCTAAAAGACTGTTAAGTTACTAGGCAGTCTTTTAGTGCGATGTCCTATGGCCCTGCTTCTCCTTGTTCTGTAATATGAATTAGCCCAACAAGAGGCTGTGACTATGGCTAGCAGGTGGTGATACCACGGTCATTTCCAAGCTGCTAATCTGCTGGAACTGCCACACGTTATGGTAGGTACAAACGCAGGATGTCCAGAGTGGCTGTCAGTGGAGCCTCTGCTCTCTTTTGCACTGAATCACACAAGAAGAAACCACCACATGGTGTTCTTGTCTCTAGCACTTTGCTTTTCCTGTGCTCGTTCTGCCAACTGCTCAGACAGAAGACTTCAGTTATGTCATGTTCACCAGCATTACTGCCTCTGTGATGGGTGAACATGTGCGTGACGGTTGGGAGGCCCAGACAGGTGTCCGGATGGTCAGCACCCCAGCCGTGGAGCTGAGTACCTGGGCAGTGACTGATGCTCGGAAGCAGCAGGGAGCTTTGCCTTTCTCATTCACTGACCCCACAGCTCCTTGCTGTTCTTCAGTTGATCTTTTTGGGGATGAGGAACAGGAGCCTCCTCAGGGTAGAATTTCAGGAAACATGGCAACTGACAAGTTGCAGAAAAGAACTCTGCCTTCCAAATTGCTGGCACAGTTATTACTTCCTAGAAACAAAAGTAGTTGTTACTGTAGCGTTTGTATGCCAGCTCAAGGGCCTTTAGGAAATGGAGAGCTGCTATGACAGGTTAGTAAGTTAAGCGAGTGTTTGAGCTTCACTTTTTGGTGGGGTTGCCTTTGGGGGAGATATGTGTATACATATATATATATATTTTTTTTAAATTTATTTAAGTTTTAAAGTGAGATTTTTGCAAACCCATGAGAAAATTAGATAAACTCTTAAGGGAGGGAAGTCCACCTGATAGTAGATGATTTCATGTCCTTTGGCCAACACTGCTGCACTTGGGAAGAGGTGGAGACTGACAGGAGCAGTCATTCCACCTGTTTGCAAGTCCCAGATTGTTAGGCCTCATGTAAGTAAGTGGATGTTTCCTCCTGCTAACCTCTGAGTCAGGTGTCAGGAGCGTATCTGTGGGATGAACTCATACCAGTAGCGCAGGGACACAGCCTCGTTAGAATGCCAGTATTCTCAAGTCAAGAGTTAACGGGAGCGGATCACTCTTGAGGTAAATATATTGTTTGCAGTGCTTGTAGTGTAGCAATTTTACATTGCATGGTTGGGTGCGGTTTACTTTTTCAGAAATAAAAAGTCTTCCATGGTTATAAAAACTCAGAACAGCTTCTAATTTCTTTTACATGACTAAAATTTCCAGGACAAAGCTGGCATCTCTCTGTCTTATTAGCAACAAATAGAAATTGGAGGTATTTGAAAGCAGTTATGTTAGATGAGTCATTCTTAAATGTTCCCAATAAACATTACTTAGAAACACAGGGGAGCTGGGACCCACGCTGATTTTTCTATCATGTTTAAAGAAACACTACCCTGATTAAATTTTGTTGGGCTGACTCCCCCGGGGCATATATTCCTCAGTAGTCACCACAGCCCAGCAAGACACAATCAGACACTGCCGCCGTGGCATTTGGAGAACTCTTGAGTTCTTCACAGCCTTCAGACTACTGTTTGATTCTTGCCATTTTACTAAACTCAGGTTGTGAAACTTGACAGAAATGTACCACAGGAAAAGACTTGTGTTAGAGAGTCAAATACAGTTACATCGAAAAGTTTCAGAGCAATTTCTACTTTCAGTGACATGTTAGAAATAACCACTTTTACTTTCATAACCTGAAGTACCAGAGTCTGGTCCGATGCCCCCTTGCAGCCTGACCTCATGGAAAGTTTTTACCCTTGAAGCCTTCTTTCCACCGCATACTGATGGGCTGACTCAGCCACCTTCCGCAGACCCACATTAACTGCATACTGGCAGCGGTGTCAAATAAGCCTGCTTATTGCCAGACTTGATGAGAGCTTATTACCACCTCTGGACCCCATATTCACTACCAAAACCTTGTTTTCATCAGTGCTGAGTCATTTTTATTTACATAAATCAGGATCTTTCCTGCTAATATGAATCCAGTTATAACTTTTACCATAAAATAAGAAAACATAAAAGAAAGAGAATGAAATACAAGAATTTTTCATTCCTACCCTCACAATATTTGGAAGGGGAAATTCCTGTTTTCCCCTTACCTGCAGGGATTGTGGCCAATATTTAAGGAAACAGAAACTGGACCAAAAGTTGTTACCAGAGTCCAGCAAAAACTGTGCACAGGGGCTGGGGATTTAGCTCAGTGGCAAAGCGCCTGCCTGGCAAGCGCAAGGTCGTGAGTTCGGTTCCCGGTACCGGAGAAAAACCAAAAAAAAAAAACTGTGCACAAAAGAGAAATGCAACTTCCTACCTGAAAAACCAAGAAAATGTTGTGCTAACTTATATTTTTAATGACTAATCTTAAAGTTTATTTTGGATAGAACTAGAACTTTCCACAGTTTATTCTAATATCTGTGTTTTCTGTCATGTGCAATAGAACTTATGGGGAAAATGATAAAAGTGTATGGTTAGAAGATTTGATCTTACATGTGAATCATATCATGGCTAGCCAGGGCACACAGTAGACAGAATTCTCAAATAAGCGTTGGGGATTTAGCGCATTAAAAGACTTAATTGTATGAGCCTTGAGAACTAAGGATAAATACAGTTTTTTATTTGTTGAGGCTAATAAACACCACTGTTTGGCGTTTGTCCCCAAAGAAGTTAGTGACCATTAGTTAAATAAATTAGGAGGCTTGGTGTATTCCCTGGTGTGAAATACCAGAACAAAATTAGCAGGTTAGCTTTCACAGCACATGTTTACTGGCTGAAATATTTTCATTCATATTGAGCCCTCATTTCTGGGTCAGTCACTAGGATGGAGGAGATGATTGGGAAGTAGTGCTTTCATGGAAAACTGTAAAGTGATACCAGTTTCTTTTGCCCATCATGTTGGCAAGTATTGTTGGACTAAGAACAGTAGTGCTACACCTCTGCAGCCTCCGAAACCTCAGGAGAGTACCAGAAATGCCATTTCACCAGGGCTTTCTTCCTTAGGTTGTATCCATGCTAATTTAATAATGTGCGCAGGATGAAGAAGACAGAGGTATCATTCTGTCCTTTAATAATTACATCAGTTTACAATACATAAATAATGACAATAAACTTTCGTATTTTCAAGTAACTCTTTATAATGTAATACCTGTTCTTTCTCTAAAATTTAAATAAAGACTTTTTAAACTTGCTTTGTTTCATTTTGTATGTAGAAAGAGGAAAATCAGCAAACAAATATCTCCAGTGTTAAGTGGTTGGTAAAGGGAAAGGAAGCCTCAAAAAGTTTTGCATCTTGCATTATTCTTTAGATGAAATGGTTGAACTATTTCTGCTCTTCTTCCAAGCCTGGTTAAGTAAAAATTTCCTTTCTTGTGTCCAGATATTTGAGCTACAATTTCATCAAGGGAAAAAATTATCTAAAACCCGTACTTTATCCATCTATGTTGTCAGGAAGCTGGTTATTCAATTTCACATCCAGTCCTCACCAAGGGCCTCTCTTTAGCTGAGAATGGCAAATGCCACCATGTATGAAGCTCATCACTGCAAGCAGACAGCAGCAGATCCATCCTGGAGTAATTAATGCAAGCATTTCCCCCCCCCACTCCCCCCCCCCAGTAGTGGAGATCAAATGACCTTGTGCTTGCCAGGCAGGTGCTGTGCTGCTGAGCTAAATCCCCAGCCCCTGCAGGCATTTATTGAGCATACAATGAATGCCTCAGATGCAGTATAAGTTCATTAACTATTACTTTAATCTTCCCTAAAACCTATATCCTAAGAGAGCAAGTAGTTGAGCCAATAGTTAGATCTAGGCAATTTAGCTCCAGTGCACATAGATTATTAACTACCATATTGTTCCACTTACTGAGGCATGGGCCTGGCATAGTTTCCTACCCTAAAAAATGCTCACAGTTTATGTAGCCCAATGTATAAATATACAAAATTATAATTACAAGTTTCCCTTACAGGCTGTGTTAGCTTTACATCACTGTGACAAAATACCTGAGACAAACAACTTATAAAGAGCAAAGGTTTGTTTTGGTTTCAATTTAAGTGGTTTCAGTCCATGATTGCTTAGTTCTGTTGCCTTTGGGCCTGTTGTACCACACCACATCATGGTGGGAGTATATGGTGGAGGAGCTATTCATCTCATGGCCATCAGGAAACAGAGAAAAGGGCTGGGGTCCCAATATTCCCTTCAAGGACCTTCCCTCAGTAGTTAGGCTTCCTTCCACTAGACCCTACCTTCTAAAGGTTCCACCTCCTCCCAAAGTGCCACAGGCTGGTGGCCAACCCTTCAGCATATGGCTTTGGGGGACATTCCAGACCCAAACTATAGCAGAGGCAAAACTACATTTGTTCCACAATACACCTTCATGAACTTATTTAGAAAGTAAACCCCCACATGCACTAGAAAGAGGCTGACCTCAGATCACCTCTTCTGCAGAGACTGGAAGGTCAACGATTGAACAACAGAAAAGAGAAATTAGGACCCAGCAACAAGGCTGGAGATAGGAGCCTCTAGAGGGGAATCTCATAAAAAGACTTCTTGGTGGAAGAGGGCTAAGGGACCTTCACAAACTGATGCTACAGTGTAAATGCTGTTTGTTGTCCCAACTCTGCAGTAAAAGCTGATCACATAGCTTTGTGTCAGTGTTCTGGGGAGTAGAAAATACGGCTGTGTTCATGTGGTATCATGAATGGCAAAGAAAGCAGGCGATTAGCTCAGCATGACAAGCCATTCACTGAGGACTCGCTGGAAGCAACAAAGGTGAGTAAGGGCAATAGAACTCCCTCCCCCTACCCTCCACTGCCACCAAGTCCTTATGGGATTGTCCCTGGAGACATCTCATTGTAGGTCAGGCCAATTTTTGAATTCAAAGAATAACCACAAATGACATTTGGTTACATAATACATGGTGTCATAAACAGAGGGCTCTTCCAGTACATACCCTGCAATTTATCTAACTGTTCCTCTTTGGGTTGAGAGATCATTTCCAATGTTTTTCTTGCCACAGGAAATCTATATCATATTTCACTCCACCATGTTTATTTGCTGTGATCAGTATAAATGTCTAAAGAGACTCCTTCTCTTCATACAGTTGATGGTAATAACTGATACTTGAAGATTTAACCTCCGGCATACTGTGTCCTAAGCCTTTCTAAGCATTAACTCACTTACACTTCACACTAAACTTTACAGAAGTAGATAACATTATCTACATGTTACAGGTAAGTAGGCACAAGAGATCAGTACATTTCCTAAGATCTCATGACTGGTATATAGCAGAGCTAGGATTTAAAATTAAGTCTAGCATGATAGTAAAGTCACATGGTTCATTTTACACTACATTAATCCCTTGAAGCCATAAGGATGACAACAGGAGAGAGTAAGAAATAAAGCTACACAACAAGGCACCCATGGTCTTGAAGCATGCTCAGGAAAGAGGACATAGTCACTAGGTAAGGCCCACCAGTGCCGGAGAGCTTGCTATGCGTGATTCATGCCCCATCAAAGGCACATACTGAAAGCTGGTAAGCTCACCATGGCTTCCCCTGACCTCTCATAATTGAAGCCCCTGGCTCTGCCAACCTCCCACTCTCCTCACACCCAAGGCCCCAACCTCAGGATGCACGTGGGTGATATCCAACTCCAGCTTCAGGATGAGTCTGCTGCCTACTCTCGGGATCCCAAGTTCTTCTGTCTATAAATTTTTCCCTGAAGAATTAATTCCCAGTGAGGTCATCACATGATGGGATGGTGGGAGACTTTGTGAAAGAGATCATTAATCTTCACCTCCAAACTTGAAATCCACTGACCCGAAATCAAGGACATATCTTTAAACATTAACTATCATATTAATAAATGATCACCTTATAAGATTGACTATATGCAGCATTGTCATCCCTAAAACCTACGCTCAGTTACATGGAGCGGGGGCTTGTGAGGTTAGCAACAACAGGAAAAATACTGTTTCAGATTGCTTACAGACATAACTCGTATTTCTGTAAACAATCCACTGGGTACAAGGGAAGAGCTAAGAGCCTCAATAGCCATCTCTGCTTCCCATTTCCTAGGTGTCCTAATGGACTTCTGAAGCCTCCAGGATCATCCCATTGCCTGAGCACCCAGTGATCTTTGGCTTTTTGGGCTGCATTTCCTCACAGATAGTGGGCTGGAAGAAACAGCCCTAGAATTTAAACCTTTACCACAGATTCTAAGTGCTGTACTGACCTCAGACATCTACCGAGGAGCTGTGGGAACTTGCAGATGATCTTGTCCTCAAAGACTTTTTAAGTAATGTCTCTTCCCCTCTGTCCCACGGAAGAGTACAGATAACTTCCAGAACAGGAAAGATTTCTGGTCAGCCTGAAAAAATACAGTCTAGTTAGACACCCGCTGGTCTTACAGTTGTTTTGGGATGGGAGGTTCATTGGGCAGTGTCTTTGTCTCGGCCACAGAGCTCACCCACTCCGTTGGCTCCTGAACCCAGGACATAAAATGGTGCATTTAGCCACTTTGTCTCTAGTTTCCTGGAGTTGTAGGAATTCTCCTCTGCTGAGTGACTCATTAACATCAGACCAGCACATTGCCCCCTCCAGCCAGCCTGCCAGCCTCTAGGAAGAGTCACAACAAGCCCTACACAACCAGCCAGGCTGTTTCCTTAAAACGCCAGCTGGAGAGGAACAGCAAATTCACCTTAATTCAAATAGCCTGGGCAGGAAAGATGCTGAAACATTTAGCCACTTTTGCAAATGGCTGCCGGGGTCACCACCTGGGTGAGCTTGACTAGAAGCAATAGTGATGGGCAGTCCAGTGGGGCCAACTCTTCTCCCCAAGGTTTACAAGCCGGTGCAGGTCTGTAGGGCAGAAATAATGCAAAGGAGCAAAACCCTACTCACAAGAAGTAAACCTTTCTTTCCTCCCCCAGGAGAACCTTGTGCTTCTCCTTTCCTAGCTCTCATCACCTCTGTAGTTACTTGGTAAATGTGTCCTCCCTGTAGGGCACTAACCTCCAGAATGACAGGAACCCAGTCAGTACCACACTCACCTGTGAACAATGTGCTTTGGACGTTGGTGCTTTGGGCATGGGGCTACACTGGTATTTTGGGTTGAACTATTGTGCATTTTGAAAGCCACAAATACACCTTATCCTTCAGGAAGCATACACAATAGACTGGCGTTGGACACGTGCCACCCTGTGCAAATGCTCACTGAGCGCTGGCAATGTGGGGTGCACTGCTCCCAGTGCAGAGGCAAGACTGTACAGAAACAGGAGAGCACCCTGCCTTCTCTCAACAGATGAGTCCTCCTTAGCTCTCCCTCCCTTTTCCCATCTTCCTATTGCTGGCCAGCCTCACTCTAGTGAATTAGCCGAGGACCTGGGAAGAGGATGGGAACCCAGGAGTCTGCAAGCACGGTCCCTAGACTGTGGCAGCACCTCAGACGGGGCTGGAAGTGCAACTTCCCCAGACTCAACCCAGACCTCCTGAGTCACATTCTGAGGCTGGGCCCAGCAGTCTGTTTCAGTGAACTCCCCAGAGGAGTCTCAGGAGAAGCAACCATGTAGGTGCCTGGCAGAGAGGCTGGAGGATGGGACTGTCCAGTCTCCTACAGAGGCGAACCTTCCTGTGGCTGCAGTCTCTGGGGGTTTAGAGAAATGCCAATTGGTAGGCATTAACCCGCCCGAGACACAAAGGAAAGGGGAGGCCCAAAATAGCATGTGTTGCCAGTCCAGTTAAGAAACAAAGACATCAATGTGTAATGCATCTATAATCATTTGTTAGACCTCAGACCTAAAGCGATCCCCCAGGGCACAATGACATTTTAAGGTTACACCTTGTGCACAGTCCTGATATCTGCCACCTGCCGGCCTAGCTCTAAGACAAGGCATACAACATTCCTGTCTGCCGTAGCCAACAGGCCCATGATATCAGGAAAGGAAATGTTCTTTAAAGACCTTCCTGCCTTGGGCTAGGACCTGGTTTAAATTAAAAATTATCTTTCTTAAAGTTCTTCTTAGGTTTCTTATATTAAAGCCCCTACAGAAACACTGATCATCTAAAAAGGACATGGGAGCTTTAAATCTGTCCTTTCCCCTCCAGACCTGACTAGCCAGATCTAGTTTAAAATTAACACTTTAAATTTTCAAAGTAATATCTAAGTAAAATGCTAATAAGCATCATAATTAC